GGATCATACATCGGTGGCAACACACTACCAACCCGATCCCCCAAGAAATGGAAACACTCCCTATCCTCAATGATCTGAATAGTACGCTCGGACTGCCCGTCAGTCTGAGGGTGATAAGCCGTACTAAAGGTCAACTTAGTGCCCAAGGCACTCTGCAAACTCTGCCACAACCTAGCAGTAAAACGAAAAATTTAAAGACAAAATCCATAGAGAGGAGTAGGATATCCCTACCTCAAATTCGGAGCCCCAAGGGAGAAGATGACAAAACCCAACGTGCTCCAAATCCCGAAATTTTCAGATTAAAATGTAGCCCTCGATGATCAACAACTTTTTTGTAAAGGCCAAAGATGAGCAAATCACTCCTACTAGATCAAAACCTAGAGAGAAGGTAGAGTTCTAGAGTGAGAGGCTCAACAATGGTGTTTTTGGAAAAGTAGGAGAGAGAAGAGAAAGTGAAAAAGTGATTTGAAAAGTCACAACTCGGGACTTAAACCCAGTCGCCCCGCTCGAGCGTAAAACACCCCGCTCGAGCGTCACTCACAGACTCCCGCTCGAGCGGCCAAACTCCCGCTCGAACGCCGGATGCACTCTCCCAGCACTTTTACAGAGCCAGGTCTCCGTTCGAGCTTCCAACTTCCCGCTCGAGCGGAACTCACACAACCCCGCTCGAGCGGCTAATCCCACGCTCGAGCGTCCAATACTGCACAGGAAATACTGGATGGGTGTATTCACCGCTCGAGCGCCCAAACCCCCGCTCGAGCGTACAGGCCAAAATCTGGGCAATTAGTTTTGGTTTCTAAACTCAACCAACCTGTAACCAATCTGCCCAACACATCCTATAACTCAAAAATACAAAGTAAAGAGGACGCAACAAGATGATAAACAACTACCAACATCCACGGACACATGTCCGGATCACTGTACAACAAGGGTAAACCCGGGATCGCTATAAAATGCGTGATTGGCGGTCCGAGAATCGAGACACGTGCCCTTTTGAGTCACAAACATGATAGGGGACATGATTGGTGCATACATTGCTTGAATTGTATTGCCATGCAAGTTCTGTCCTCTACTGCTGTGAGTTGCAGGTTCTGCAGACATTCTTTGCCGACCGGCCGTATACATTGCCGACCGGTAGTAAATCACCAGCCGATGGATTCATTTTGTGCCGGTGACCACAATTCACTGCTGGTGGTAATTCTACTCAGCCGGTGGTGATTCCCAGTATCCAGAGAGGCATCCTTGAGACTTTGGAAGTCTTCAGAGAGGCAGAGCAGGGAAAACAGAGGCGGACTATGCATGGCCGTGCACTTCCGAGCAGGACCCGAGCATGCGCTGCATCTGGCTCTCCTCCCGAGGCGGTTTACTGCTTTTTCCTAGTTTAAATTAGTTTGTTGACTGATTAGGCAATTTGTAATATTTAATTAACTTGCGTAGTTAATTAATTTGTATTATTTATTTGGTCCCTCCGGGCGAGGGCAAATCTGTAATAAGTGTGTGTGAGTGGTGTGTATGTCTTCCAATCCCCACTTCTTTCTTCCTTTTTATTTCCCTGCTTTGATGGTTAGTATTAGGGCACGTTTAAATTAGCATACCTCATGCAATGCATGCGTGCATTCATACATTTGCCTTGCACGCACCAGGCTCGGCACATCATTCTAACTGCATTTGTACTTCAATTTCAAATTGAATACGTGATAGTTGTAGCATTTCACGTACCATGTTTAGATTAGCCGAGCCTATCTAATTGCATCCTGTATGTGTTGCATTAGTCAATTTGACATGAACTAGGATCACGCATGTTTGCTAACCAGTTTATTGTTTTGGCACGGAGTACGATGTAAGTATTTTCGCTTTAGCATCATCGCATGCGTGTGAGTGCTATCATGACAGTATGCTTACCATGTGGCTAGATGCTTATGTGTTATAAACTGTTTGAATGCCTGTGGGTGAAGGTTGGATTGTTTGAGTTGGAAAAACTCGTTGAAATCCGTATTTTAGCCTACTTGCGAGTAGCAAATTCCAAAATATTTTTCCAAAACAAACGGATATGCAATACTTGTTTCCAAATTAGGCAATCTAGTCTATACTTGTTTGCTGTGCGCATAACATATTAATTCTAGGCTAATAACCGGAATAAGAACACATAACGTTTTCAAAATCGGATATCATGGTTAGTAGAGGCCGGTCTTCGGACCAGGCGAAAGGGGGTGCTCATAGCTGACCTTCCCCGATCGTACCCAAGCTCCCGAGCCAAGACAACTTTGGTGATGACGGACATGTGTCCTTCGGCATCGAGTCAGGGTTTCCTAAATTCTCCCATAAAAAATATTTAGGTGGCGACTCTGTATCTGGCGAAGCAGTCCATGTTTGGCACTTCTTTTCAAAAAATCTGTTTCTCAAAACGATTTGCCGGATTTGGACTCTTTGGTTCAAGATTAAGAACCGTGACGATTTGAGAGTCCGAGCTGTAGTATCCCCAAAATGAACCAGACGGGACTACCCTCCCGGGCGTTTGCGGACGTGCTACAGTTGCTTAAAATTTCACCGAGGTAGGGTTTGATGAGATTCGGTAAGAGTGGTAAATTGTCTCCAAGGTTCATTGGGCCTTTTAAGATATTGGAGTGAATTGGGGTGGTGGCATATCGGTTAGCTTTACCACCACAACTTTTGGGAGTTCACAACGTGCTTCATGTATCTATGCTTAGGAAGTATGAGCTTGACCCTTCTCATATGCTTGATTAGGTTGATTTGGAGGTAGACGAGGATGCCTCATACGAAGAACGGCCAGTCCAAATATTAGATACCCGAGAACAAGTGTTAAGGGGCAAAAACTATACCGTTAGTGAAGGTGTTCTGGAAACACCATAGGGTTGAGGAAACAACGTGGAAACGGGAGGCGGAATTATATATATATATATATATAAAATAAGAAAAAAAGAAAAGAAAGAAAGAAAATGAAAAAAAAAAAAAAAAGAACCGGACAGCCCGGCGAACCGGCTCCGGGTCCGATTTTTAAAACCTTGCTCCAAACAACATAACAACTCAAATATGTGCTAAGTAAATTGCAAGGCAATACCAGTAAGATGTGAACCAAACTTTAAGTTAAAATGATGTCAAATGTATTTTGAAAAAAAAGAAAAAAAGAAAAGCAAATAAAGGAAAAGAAAAAAACAAAAAAAAAAAAGATTTGTAGAAAATACGAGAGATATAGTTCCTGAACTCAAGGTTTTGTGTGTTTAATGACTTGATTGAGTTTAATAGATTTTTATAACCAAAATATTCACAAATTTCAGGAAAGGGTATACTGTCACAGTTATACATTAGAGGTTCAAGGGAATGTCTCAGGAAGACAGATCACTGGTCCAGGAATATATGACATGACAAATGTCAAGATCACAGAGAAAACAGAAGCATATAGTTTTGCCAAACACTTAAATACACCATTATTAGGAAAAGTAGGAAAAACTAAGTGTTTTCAATATGACCTTCAAACGTCTGAACATGGTAGCAGAGTTGTTCCATGTACCATCAAGCAAAACAAAGTGCAGAGTTGTATCTCCATTTGTCTGTTCCATGTACCATCAATCAACATGAAAATTACCACCTTGTTGAACTGAAATAAGAAGTAAGAAATTGCTCATTAATTAGAGCAAAGCTACATTAATGACACACAGCAAAAAGAAAGAAAAAAAAAAAGGAAAGAAAAGATCCTACAAAATGAATTAAAATTTTCTGTCAATTATCTTGTCAGTTCTCACAATGGACCAAGAATAAAGTCTGGCATGATGGGCAAGGCTTGATTCAAAAAATGGTCAGAGATAGAGCGAACTGCAAAGTAGAGTTCAAATAGACAACTCCTAATGGTCATAATATGGCTTTCTTGGAATTAAAATGAAAATCAAAGACCTTCATTTTCACATAATCCATTTGATAGGCCAAGATTGGAAAAAAAAATTTGGGCCTATTTTTCTTTAATAAAGTTACAGCCCAACATCATTTTCAAAATTTTGTCGCAAAAGGTCACAAGAGATAAGGTGCTCATGTACATAGTATATGAGGAACTTTTTCCCATAAAATATATTTGCAAATGTATGAAAAGACAATCAGCATGATTCATGATTTTTCAAATTAAAAAAGAAAAAGAAAATAATACCATGTTCAGTTTGCATTCTTGACCTGGTGAAGAATCTTGACTAAAGGTATCATGAACCAACTTTGTTGGTGCATTCTTGTTGGGATAAAGGCACCAAACCTTGTCTTTCACTGAAATCAATGTAGAATGCAATCAGAATTTTGTCATTTTGAAGGAATGGATACTAAGAAAACACCAACTGAGTCCAAGAATCATGGCCAACAAATATATTTGAAACAGATTCATGTAATAAATGACACCTGATGATTGCAGTTAAATTAAAAAAAGTGAATTCCACAATACTACAACTGTAGTATGCATTACTGATGCAAATATTAAGCAGGGTAAGTATAGGAAGTATTATAAGTGACCGCGAAGCCAGACTCAAGATCTAATATAGTTATTTGGTAAGATTCTAACTCAGAAATTGCCTAGGAAAATAATTGTTAATTTTTTAATATTGTTTTATGTTTTTCTTAAACTTTTAAATCGGGCAGTTCTATAATTTTGTATTTTGGGCCATAAATTTGGCTATCAGAATGGACTGTTTTTTTGTGGGTTGATTTATGTAGTTTAAGTCATGTTTAATAGATCAGTCAAAACCTGCAAGCTTAACTGCATTCCACATTATTTGTTCAAGCTTAGGAATGCCATAGAGGCACAAAGTTGCAGCTTGAACACCAAATACTTGCCATAACAACTTCCCTGTGTTGTTCTATCGTAGAAAATTCGGCCAAAAGAGACTGTTGTCGGTGACCCTTGAAAAAAACTAAAATTAAATGTAGATGAAATGATTAAATAAATCAAACCTTTGGGTGCATATACAACTAGAACCGAATGCCATGCCAGAGAGAACAGGGTATGAGTTTAGAGCACATGAAATCTTCTAGAGGAAGCTAGCACTAGAAACTTGTAAACATTTAAAAGTAAATAACTCTTCTGCAATACATAAAGTTTACTTTGATTTCATGTAAAGTTTTAGGAGTACTAAAGAAGACATCATATTACCTAATGAAACATTTTTGTTTGATAAGGAAACCACATGCCTTCTAGCAAAGGTAATCCGTATTACCTAGCAAGCGACATGCTATTTTCATAGTTTTATTTGAATAGGTCATTGCGAAGTCACATACCAGTGGAACTTATAATTGGTGAACATATGCCAGAAATGGTGATACCCTGATTCTACGTGGATGTGGTGATAAATGCATATGTCTGAATCGGCATAACTAAAAGGTGTAGCGATTGTGTTTGCATGGAGATGAGCCTCATACATACTATTACTAGCAAATCTGAAAATAATATTTGTTGTATAAATTTAGAAGCTGCTTTAAATAGCCTTTTTGAACAACACATGTAAGTAAGGGTTGTGGGATTAGCACCTTCATATAGTTGTTAAATGAGGATGTAATCATCATTGTATTTATACACATTTCCTTTTTGGTAGATAAAGTATCCATGTGTTAGACGCAAGGGGGACGCTCTGTTATTGTGTCTGCCACACCAAGTTTCATAGTCTTCTAATGTATCATAAGATAGAACCATGGGAAATCCCTTATCAAGACCCTATTTATTCAATTCCATATTAGAAAACACGGCTATAGATTCCAACCACATAGCCAACTGTATATGAATTTGTCTTAAATGTGACTAGTTGCTTTAGGTCAATATCATTAGCTGGTTATATACATGTCTTCATATACTGGAATCAAGTATTTTTTACTACTATGTAGCAGTAACACTATCATATTGGTAAGCTGATGTTTGTGGTTGATTTTAAGAGGAACTAAGTTTTTTAATATCTCGACTGTTAAAACAATGTTTCTGTTTACATCTTTGCACGTCCCTCCCTTTTATTGCCACTGCTGCTGGTATGCTAGCCTAGCATTTTCAGAATGGGATGATCTAGTGGTATGATGTGATTATGTGATTCGCTAGAAACATGTGAATTATATTATATTTTGTTAAATTGAGATTATAATGGGCTTCTAATACTTATCAAAAGAAAAATTAAAAATAAAAAAATAAACAAATTAGACTCTGCTATTGAGTGATAAACTTTATTATTTGACACGAGTGGGCCTCATCCATCGTGGGAGTAAGGGTTGTAAATTCATCAAAAGATAATGTGGATTTACCAATTTCCTTTGTTGTTGTTTTTATTCAGGAAAATATATGAATCAAAACTATTAAATATTCCAAGATCAAGTTGATAGTTGTAGTTTTGTGGTCGAAAGAATGCTTTACTGGCAGTTAATTTTGACTTATCTTTTCACTTTTCTTGGAATATCATTTGGTGGAATATCTTTTTGAACCTCTATCATTTGGGCATGTAGTTTTATACTATGGTATTCATTGCAAGTTCAAATTCTGATGTATGGATTACTCAATTCAACTCAACTCAACAAGCTTTAGTTCTAAATTATGTAGGAACTATTTTTCAAAAATATGTTTTTTTTTTTTGTATGTTTCTATAAATGATGAGTAGTGTTTGAACTAATAATGGCCAACTTGAAAATTTAATCACGAGAGTTTTGCTATTTCATCCCCAAGTCTTGTTTTTGACTCTTTGAATTCAAAATTCATAAATTTAGTTAGTGTACATTTCATTGTCAAAAAAACAAAAGAACTGGCATCTTTTTGGTAGATTTGGTGGTTTCAATTCTACATATTCGATTCTCTAAAGAAAAGCTTGTTAGATGGTTTCCTAACGTCTACAGATATTTCAAGGACAGTAAAAAATTTACTTTTAATCTCAACATTTAGTTTCTCAGTCCTAAATTTTTCATCTAGGGATACATGATGGAATAGGGACAAATTCATATTAACAATAGATTGAGTGATTGTACACATGGAACAACTTTTTTTTTTTTTTGCCCTTTCTAGTTACATAAATACACACACACACACACATTCAATACTTAGGTTACCCAATGCCAATATTATAGAACTATAGAAAACCAAATCCCATAAAGGAAATAATTAAGTTACCCAACCTTCATTTTATTAAACAACTTCTAGCTAATCCAAATGAAGGAGCATCTCGAATCACATTGAAATCTTTTCTGCATTATTGCACCAAAAACTCTCTAGGAAAAAAATACATTTTACATATAATGTATTTTATCTTTTTAGTCTCAATGGGGTACATAGTGTTTGAGACGTAAAATTTGCCAACAACCCCATAGTTTATCAATAAAAACAAATTAATAGATATATTCAATTTGATGTACAACCAAAAAGAATGATAGGGAAGAAGGGAAATAGAACGAACAGGAGAAGAAGAAGGAGAAGAGAGGGACATACCTATTTCAATCATTGGTAATGAAATTTCAAGCTTTCACAATCTAAAAAAAGAAAAAACAAGAAATTACATATTCCTTCAATCGTTTTATAGAAACCCATTTCAATCATTGATTCATTGATTTCACATAAATAAAAACCCTACAACATAACAAAATAAACCTTAGAGCTAGAGGGAAATGGGGAAACAGAGAAACATAGAGAGAGAGAGAGAGGGAGAGGGACAAAGAAAAAGAGAAGAAGAGAAATAGAGAGAGGAAGAGAAAAACCTCAATGTTGAAGCGATGTGATGCGAGCGGTGGCGGCGATGTAATGATGTTCGACGGTGGAAGATCGACAATGAGCAACGGTGGAAGACCGACGGTGACTATGAACGGCGAATCAGCGATGGTGAGTCTAAGAGAGACAGAGAGAGCAAGAGACTGAACTTGTTTGAGTGTATGTAAAGATGGAAAAATATGAAAAAATAAAAAATAAAAATAAATCATAATTAATAAATTTGGTGGTAATGTGAAAGTATTCCCACCAAAAAATAAATATGTGTGTTTTATGAAAGTTTTTAGTCGCCAAATTTACTTGTTAAAAATATAATTTGTTGTACTTAGAGAGAGATATGAGAGGAAAACTGATAAACATAACAAAAAACCAAAAAAACAAAAAAAACAAAAAGACAACAAAATTAGTAGTCTCTTTTTTTTTTTTTTTTTCATTACCATCTAATTTGTCAAAATTTTCTTTCCAAAATTAGTGACAAAATAATTTCCTCGCTAAAAGGTCTCAAAATATTAAAAATTATTAGTGGCGAAAATATATTTGTCACCAAATAATCTTAAAATATTTAAAATCAAGTTTTTCAAAAAATATATATATAAAATTATTGGTGTCAAAAATATATTCCTTACTAATAATTTTATAATTGGTGACAAATTTTTTTCTCACCAAAAGTCTCAAAATTTTGACGCCACCAAAAAAACTTAGCAGGAAAACCTTTGATGACGAAGCTTAATTTTTCCTCACCTGAAAGAAGTATTTATTGACGAAAATAAATTTTGTCACCTATTATTTTTATTTTTTTATTATATGTGACGAAATTTTATAATTCGTCACGAATTATTCTTATTTAATGACGAAATTTATTTTTTCACTACTTTTCGTCACCATAGGTTACTTTTGTTGTATGATCTAGTGAACATGAATTTGTCATAAGTCATTACCTAGTTGGGTCTAAACCTTTAAAACTTGTCTTCGAGAACTCACACATTAGGATGATTGGAATTAGTTTATGACATTGGTCATGAACCGGTGGCTTATTATACTTAATCCCATTAATGAGAAGATGACATGGATGGTTTGAGTAGACCCACTCGGGCCCACTCACTTGTGACATCTTGCTCTCATGTGAATGTGTAACTTTGTTCGCAATGGTTGCGTACAAGTAAGTAGGAAAGCCGCAAAAGGGCATTTGTATTGGCGCACTTAGTACCCTATGATATTTATGACTGGATATGTGTAAGGGTATGATAGCTAGTCTCAATCTCGACACATTTATAGATTACGATACGCATCTGAGTCAAGACTATTTGATCTTCCATAAGTCAAAAGTTTGAGATGATTTTTGACATTGCACATATGAGGTCGAGATCAATCAGATAACAGTTTTTGTGCTTTTAGTTTTGACCAAGGTGGCGAGTATCTATTTGAGTTATTTTAGAAAGCTCTGTGAAGATAAATGGATGCTTACAAAATTGATGATTCCTAGTACTCAACAACACAATGGTGTAGTAGAGATAAGGAATTAAGTATTGTTAATGTTAGGTGGATGATGGTGCAAAATGTTTCCCAATTGGGAATTACACTTTAGTTTGTTGCCTATATCCCTAACTAAGTGCCTTCCATATCAGATTTTACACTCCATTTGAGTAATGGGTTAGCGGAGAGCCATCTATGGGTAATCTGTAACAGTTAAGCAGCTTATCTTTTTTTTTTTTACTTCTCATAAGGTTGCGAAGTTAAGACCTAAGGTTCTATGGCGCATTATTATATGTTGTCTTGTAAACACTTAGGGTCATGTGGCGCATTATTGTATGCTGTCATGTAACCCTTAGGATCATGTGCATATAGGTAAGCATCTTTGTGGTAGTGTAACTAAGTCACATAAAGTTTTCTTAGTAAAGGTGACGTGAATAGAGTTTTGGAGCTCTATAAGATAGATAATTCTAAGTATAGAGCTTTATATAGCCTAGTTGAGAATGGAAAGAAATTTCTAATATCCTAGGGATAGTGGAAGCGATGTGCCTACTAGTGGATTACTCCATTAAAGAAGAATACTCTACATTCTTTGTTGCGTGGTAACGAATGTGAAAATTTTCCACGACATCACTGGGTGATTAAGAGGGAAACATTCATGATTGCACCGCAAGATGATAAAGAGCCTAGGATAATGCCAAAGACTCTAGTCCCTTGTTTTTAGAAAACGGATCAATGTTGCGCAGTTTAAAACAAAGTCTTTGAGGATTAACCATTTCTATAATTTGGTTGACTTTCCATTATGACGCGAAATTGTTCTAAAGTTATGCTCAATTTTGATAGTTATTGTTGAGGCATAAGGCTTGCTAGATACCGAAAAGTTGCACCATTGAGGAAGGTGTAGACCATGAGAAGACTTTCTCCTGGGGAGTGG